GCTGCATGTTCCCCTGCTGCTGCTGCTCCGCTCCGTCGGGCTGTTGTTGCTTTTGCTGCTGCTGCTGCTGGGGTGTATAGGTGCAGCAGCACGCAGCAGCAACTCCAGTGTATCCGCAGCTCTTTGGGGGGGGTCCAGACCCTCATAGGCAAACGAATGATGCAGCAACTGCAGCAGCAGCAGCAGCAGCAACAGCAGCAAGTGAATCGTGTGTAGAAATGTACAGGGAAAATATACACAAATCAACCGCAGCATCAGCAGAAACAGCAAAAGCAGCAAGCAACAGCAGCAGCAACAACTGCAGCAGCAGAAACAGCGCCAACGACAGCAGCAGCAACAGCAGGAGCAGCAGCAACAGCAGCAGCAGCAGCAGCAGCAGCAGCAGCAGCGGCTTACCTTTTCTAGAACAGCAGGGGAGGGCCGTACCAGCTGCACTGCTGCTCCGTCGTCTTCGTCCTCCTCAGCGTCAGCAGCAGCAGCAGCAGCAGCAGCAGCAGCAGCAACCCTACGTGCCTCTTGCTCTGCTGCTAAGCATGTCGCCACGCTGCTGCATGCTTCAGGGTTTTGTTCTGGTAGCAGCAGCAAGCGGTTTGCTGCTGCTGCTGCTACTTGTGCTGCTGCTGCTGTTGTTGCTGCTGCTGGCAGCAGGTGCTGCAGCCGCGCTGCTGCCATATTTGCTGCTGCGCATGCGCTGTACACGCAGCTGCAGTGTACGCGCAGCTGCTGCAGCTGCTGCAGCTGCTGCAGCTGCTGCGGCTGCTGCAGCTGCTGCAGCTGCTGCAGCACGGCTGCTGAAGGAGCTGCTGCTGCATCTCCTGCTGCAGCAGCAGCAACAGCAGCAGCAGCAGCACCGGCAGCAAACTCTACGGCCGAAGAGCACACAGAGAATAGCGTCGCTGGGTGCTGTTGCTCCTGCTGCTGCTGGTGCTGCTGCTGTTGCTGCTGTTGCCTCTGTTGCTGCTGCCGCTGCTGTCGCTGTTGGCGTTTCTGCTGTTGCTGCTGCTGCAGCTGCTTAGGGATATCAGCAGCAGTTCCAGCAGCAGCAAGCTGCTGCTGCTGCTGCTGCAGTAACAATCCCGTCATGCGGTGCAGAGACACAGCAGCAGCAGCAGCAGAAGCAGCAGCAGCAGCAGACGTTGGCTGATCCCATTCGTCATCCTGATCTGCTGCTGCTGCTGCTGCTGCTGCTGCTGCTGGAACTGCCGCCTCAAAGCCTTTTCTTTGCTGCTGCTGTTGCTGCTCTGCAGCAGCAGCAGCAGCAGCAGCAGCGAAGACAACGGAGGATAGCGTTTTTAATATGGCTAGTGTGTGAGC